ATTTTCATTCCAACAATTTAAAAGAACTAAGTAAATACCTTTTAAAATTAGATTCCAATGATACACTTTACAATGAGTATCACGCTTGGAGAGAAGAATACATTATAGTAGGTAAAAAGAACAAACATCTATGCTCAATTTGTGAACATTTGCATCTCAAGGATATCCCTAACAAATCATACAAAATATCAGATTGGTGGAATAGCAAAAGGGATTGTAAAAATTAAATTGAAAGAAAGCATCCAAAATATCAAATTATATTAAATCTCATAAAATATCTTTTTAATTATTAATAGATAAAATTCAGTTTTCTATGATTGTATGCAATATATAGATTTGGGTTGATGGGTCTATAATAATGGAGGCTAATTTGTCATGTTATTTTAAGCCCCCTGAATAGATATGGACAAGTTTAGATTTTAACCATAGTCAAATTAAAAAACTATTTTATATGGCTTAACTTAAATTCAATGTTGTAGGAAATTTTTTTATTTAAATAATAAAGTAAAATCGAAATCTTTATAAATAAAAAATTTAGCACAGCATTCTTATTTGATTTTACTAGTGCAAATCAAAAATTGATTTGAGCTATCGTTGTTTAAATATATGATGTTTATTTTAGTAAATATAGCAATAAAGGATTTTGATCCAGGTTTAATTCAATAAAAAACTGAATAGAAAACTATAATAGACTAAGTAGATCATATTATATATTCACAGTTTATTTTAATCATAATTAATATTATTTATTGTTCTTTCTAAATTATATTTGTCTATTTTTCTATGGCACTTGATATTATGATCTGGGGAAGAATCCACCCTAAATCATATAACGTTGCTTCCATTTTTTCCAATGATCCCACCTATTAAATTATTGCGTGCCACAATTTATCTCCTTTTCTCCTTTGTTTTAGCTCCTTGAATCCTAAGTTGTCTTTTTGCACATATCCATACAGGTTTTAAAGGATTAAACGATCATGACTGAGAGCAATTAGTTTGAGGCATATTTCTAGGCTTCACCATATAGTTTTTATGTGCATGTGGACAGACTTTTTTTTAACTCATAGATCCTGGATAACTTTGTTATGTAATGGTTCCAATAGTATTTTTGTTTCTATCAAATATAGATACTACCATTTCACTAAGAACTTATATCTTTAGAGGACATTCAGAAACTTTAGGTTTATTATATCTAGAGTTTTAACCATTGGTCTTGTTACCATATGAAGCGCCTTTGATATTCATGATGTAGTCCTCTAAATGTTTGGGTAAATGTTTCAATCTAATAGGTCAAGTCTCCCCTTAAATTGATCTTGCATCTTTCGTTGTTTGTTCCTAGTTATTACCTCTTTCCCTTTTGCGGTAGGACACTCGCCTTCATGTTCCTCTATTGCAGATGGCTTCGGTGTATTTTGATTATAAATCTTAGCATCGGATTTCATGCGAAGATCTTTTTTTAATTTGATACAGGTGTCTTTACAGTCGCCCGTATTCACTTTGTAAGGTAAGTTACCTTCTCTTGACGAGATTTAATGAACTGGAATTATTAAACGATCTCGAAGCTGATCTACTGGTTTCCACAACGTTTTCTCGGAGTTTTATTTATATATGAATATCTCATTTTTATTCATTACCAGTGACCCCTACAACGGGGGGGGGGGGGAGGGTGGGGGGTCCGAAGCAACTGCTTCTATAAATTTCTATGGGGGTACTTTTTTTTTTTTAAAATTTTTTATTTATTTTTTTAAAAATTTTTATGGTCGATGTTTAGCAAATTTGTTTGTTATCCGATATTTCTTATCATAAAATTATTTTTCCACTTTCAAGATTTGGCGCAAAATTAAAATTTTATCAAAGGGAATAGTAAAAATTTAAATATTTAATCTTATATATAATCATTTATAATTTCTAGATCATTGTCAAAATATGCCCAAAAATATTAACCAAAATAAATATAAATGCTTGATTAAAAATTAAGATGGCAATATGATGAGCCTTATTAAACTTATTGCAGATTCAGAGCCTGTTCTTAAAATGTATATACAAGATAATGAAGAAAGAAGAAGTGAGAAAAAAATTAAGGGATTAAAATCTAAATTATATTCAAATCTGTTATCATATAATAACATAAATATTCTTATTGAAACCATGAAAAATATGGTTATAAAAAAAATTCAAAAGGAGATTGAATTCAACAGGTGCTATTCAATTATAGTTGATGGCACATATGATGTATCGAAATCAGAAGCAATAGCTTTGATAGTGAGATATGTTGAAAATAGCGAGACACCTAAGCCCGTTGAAAGGCTGATTAGACATTTATTGTACGGGAAATACAACGGGCCTCGATATTAAAAAGAATATAATATCCAAGCTTGGCTCCATGAATCTACCCCTCGAATTCCTAGTGGGGCAAAGCTATGATGGCACCTCAAACATGAGTGGAAGAATTAATGGAGTGCAGGCTTTGATTAGAGCGGAGGCGCCAAAGGTAGCTTTTATTTGGTGCTATTGTCATCGATTAAATTTAATAGTTGTTCAATTATGCCAATCAGTAAAAGAGCTGCGAAATGTCTTGGGAATATTAGACGAAATTTACGTATATTTTAATGGTGTTAAAAGATATGAAGTGCTCAAAACATGTCAGAGTGATTTACTGACAAAATCACATAGATTTTTACGCATCAAGAATACCACTCGGTAATATTATCTTAATTGTTTTGATATATAATGTTTATTTTATATTTATAGAAGCTGGCTAACATCATATAAGGCGATTGTAAATTTTTTCCAACTTTATGATGCTTTGAGGGCAGCTTTGGCAAATTTAAAGGATTCTGAAGATCCTGCCACTTCCACTATGGCTAGTGCTATAGTCTATAGAATAGAAAAATTTTATTTTATTTTATCACTATGTGTTTTGGATAAAATATTGTTGATAACAAGCTTGGCTTGTACAAAATTGCAAACCTTTTCGAAGGATATAGGGTATGCAATAAATCAAATTCAATTGGCAGAAGATTGCCTGATTAATATGAGAAGTATAATTTAAATTATTATCTTTTATTATTTTATAATCCTAAAATTGATAATAACACTGAATTTTTGGATGTCTTTTCAAAGGCCCAAGATTTTATAAAGAAGAGAAATTTACCTTTTGATTTTGAAAGTTCAAGACTTCAAACATTACAATCCAAAAAGGAGAGGTATATATATACTTTTATCATTAAATATAATATTTTATTTTAGCTTTAAAATCAGTGTGTTTTATGCTGCACTTGATATGCAGTTTAGTGAAAGATTTAACGATGTATCGATAAAATTTTTGAGTCAAACATCATTTTTTACCCCAAAGGGAATGGCGGAAAAGGCAATTGTTAAAGATGATATCAAGGATATCTGTGAATTTTATCAATTAAATACAAGTCAAGTTTTTGAGGAAATGTTGATGTTTAGAAATATTTATAAAATGGCTAAAACGGGGGACGTAATTATTACTAGTGACCTAGAGGTTAAAGAAGATTTGTCAGATTCTGAGAATTGTAAATTTATTTAATTAAGATATTTTTACTAATACATTATTTAGCTTCTTCTGATGATGATAATAATTCTGAGATGAATGATTCAGACTGGAGAAACTATTCATTTATTTTACCTTATCGTCTGCTTATAAATTTTTCTGCTTTCCCAAATTTAACAATTTTATATAAATATTTATTAACTATTCCTACTACTTCATGTACTGCCGAAAGGGTCATGAGTAAAATTAAACTAATTAAAACAAGACTTCGTAGTGTCATGAAAGATCCATTTCTTAATAATTTAACCATTTTATCAATGGAAAATAATTTATTTAAACAATTAAATATTGATGAAATTATAAATTCTTTTGCTTTCTCTTCCCCTAATTTATCTAAATTATTAATTTAAAAATAATATTTTTAAAGCATATATTTTTTACATTATATTTATATTATAATAAATATTGATGCAATAAAAATTATTTTTGAAATTTATTGGTGTCAAAAAATAATTTACAATGGGGGGGGGGGGGTACTTTAGGGGGTATTCTGCTTCTATCCCTCAAAAAGTGTAGGGGTCACTGTTCATTACTTGAGGTTGAGATATTTTGAATTCTATCCATTTCGATTGTAAATCATGTTTTAACTTTGTCTCACATTGGCCTTTTCTTCCTTATGTTCCAAATTTGATCGTATTCAATCGTTTTAAATCAGTAGTGTCAGTGAAAGTAGGGCGTAGGGGCTCGAACTCTCTAAAAAATTTGAAAAACCCCCTCAAAATTTAAAATTTTATTTTAATACCACTAAAAAAAAGAAGATATTTAGATAATGTTAGCTAAAAAAAATGAAAATGATTTTTAAAAAAAATTTGAGCCCCCTGAGGCCGTAAAGGTTAGTTATGCCTCTGTTATAAATCGTCATCCAAGTAACATCTTTGACGGAGGTCTCCCGGAACAGCTATGCTCCCCCTGTTGATGGGGTGTTAAAATTTGTGACTAAGCCTCTTCCTGATCAGATATTAACTCCGTTGCTTAATAGCGACCTTTCAAGTTCTTATGGCACTCTCTGCTAATCCATTTGTCTTCAGATGATAGGGTGTCAAACGTATATGCCGTATGTTATTTACACAGTAAATAAGAAATTCATATAAATTGTGGTCCATTGTCTAACACAATAAACTTAAGTATCAGGGGGCACTAGCCACAGCGTCTACATGAGCGGAGGAAGGGGTGGTATGAATAGTTTGCTTCCAATTTCTTTTAAGGGGTATAGGCTTTAATTGAGGTAGGTTAGGAATAAATTTTATTTGGGGAGGGGGGAATCATTTATTTAAATTATGAAATAGGACAAAATGTATTTCAGTAAAAATTAATACTTTTAAAGAGCCAATCCAATATCTCGGCTCATTGACCAAAATGTATCATTTCGTTTCGATTCAAAATATGATTGCCTACAGATCAGTTAAGTAGATAACCAATAATATTTCGATTTAAAATTTGAAATATTATAAGAGAAATTCCAAACCTATTTTCTTAAAAATATGCCATGCATATTTTGTAAAATTATTGATAAATCAATGCCAGCTAATGTATTACATGAAGTTATATAATTAAGCTTCTTATCTAATTATTCATATAAGGATGAAAATGTTCTTGCCATTACAGATAAAAATCCTGCCTCAAAGTATCACTATTTGGTTATGCCCAAGATTCATTATCCTAATATAAAACATGTTTCTTGTAATGAACTTGGTGTAGGTTTCTAAATGTGAATTTTTTTTAGAAATATTGTATTTAGTAAATAATCTAGTGGATGTTGGTTTTAAAATATTACAACAGTATAATCCTGATAAATCTCAAATAAGGTTCATTTTATATATCTAATTTACTTTAACATTTATATTAGAATGGGCTTTCATAAATATCCATTTAATTCAATTGAACATATGCATTTACATGTTATATATCCAATTAAATCCCTGAAGCTGCTACAAAAATTAGAATTTAAACCCAATACTCCTTGGTTTACATTAGTATATAAATTTTGATTTTTGAATACTAGATATTAATTTAGGTTGAAGATGTAATCCAGAAGCTTTCTAAATAATTTTTATGTTTGGTTAATTTTTAAATATTTATATTTTTGCATTTGCATACCTAATATATTTATAGTAAATTATATTGTAAAATAAATTTATGTCTATTATATATAGACCTGTTATATAAAAAATGAAATTTTTAAAACTAGGTTATCCAAATTCTTTTTATAAAATTATCAATATTTGGGATTTTATACCAATATTACAGGCAACAATATCAATATTTGGGATTTTACACCAATACAATCCATAATTTCAATATTATATTGATTTTTAAAAACAATACCACTTAGAGCCAATATTAAAGCAATTCAATATAAAAGAAATTCAATTTTATTCAAATATTATTTTTTGGATATGGATAATATTTAAATCCAATACTAGTATATAAACCAATAACAATATAATATATTTTAAATTCTTTATTATCTTAGCATAAAATCTACATATTTGGATTATGAATTATATAAAAATTCAAAAAAAATAAATAAAAGAATTAAAAAGGTAGGACAAATTTATAAAGGTTAAAGAGAAAATGTATTCAAATGAGAAACTCCCCTTAATAAAACTTAGACTCATTATTATAAGTGATAAAACTCCAGGGGATTTCCTGAAAAGAAAATATTGTTTAAATTAACCAATATAGACATTGTATAGACTGGACCTAATAAGGGATCTAATAAAGTGTCAATATATAACAAGTATATAGAGAAAAATATGATTTTAGGATAAAAAACGTTTTTTTAAAATTATTATAACAATATTTATGAAAAATTTCCACTTTACTGCAAATACTATTAAACATAATTTACTAACATTTTCATAGAAATTATACTTTTAAAATTAATATATAACTTGCTCATTTTGTTTAAAGGATCCGTTTTTTTAAAAAAATTTTTTAATAATTTTTAATATTGTTTTTATGTAAAGAAAATTTCTGTTTTTATATTTGAAAATAACTGTCTTATTTTATATTTTTAGGCATCTTTACTCTACATCTATACCATTGAAAAGGGCTCAGAAAATAAACAAATAAAAAATCCCTTTAGTTATTAATTTTTTTTAATAATCAAAAATAAAACGACGTTTTTGAAATAACCAAAAAAATAAATTTAAAAAAACCAAAGATGTGAACGCGGACCATGACATGAACCTACTGGAGTTGTTAAACCCCACTTTTAAAAGTAGCGTGCTACCCAGGGTTGCCAGGTATCCCCCTTCCATCAACGGGAGACTCCCGCAATTTTTTGTTTACAACATCTCACTAGTGTTGTTAAACGACTCGTTTTGAGCCTATTTTTAAAAACGGCTAACTCAATATTTTAGCCAGAAAATGCCTAAGCATGAGATTTCGCAATAGATGTCAGAACCTTTGTTCCTTCTATAAGCAAAATCTTCAGGCTTGCGTAATATTATTCTGGAAGAAATATTGAGATAGCCGTTTTTAAAAATCGGCTCAAAACGAGCCGTTTAACAACACTACATCTCACACCCTCGGAACTACAGTAATTGCTACAATTTCTTTCGTACAATCATTTTTTTATCGTTTTTAATATATAAATAATAATTTTGAGAAACAGTAATTGATTATTTTTTAAAATAAATAAACATGTCTAGTATGTAAATTTCTTTCTATACTCACCTTTTTTATTTTTATCCAATAATAAATCAACATCATTCATTCATATTTTATCGTTTTCATGTGTCTTTGTGTATAATATAGCGTTTAAATACATAATAAACGACTCCAAGATAAGTGAAAAATTTACTTGTTGACGAACAAAAACGAGTAAGGCTTTCACCAATGTTTTAGGACCTTAATCCAAGAAGTCAATTCTTGACGATTTGAAATATGGGTATCCATATGCAATTCTAACAGATGCATCTAATAAGGGGAATATTAAAACATTTCCCTTGATCCTTCGCTATTTTAACAAAAATAAGGGCGTTTCAATGAAACTATTAAATTTTGAAAAATCTAAAGACATGGCTAGCCATATAATGGTAAATATAGCAGATTCGGGATTATCAATGATTTGCATGTCAGCTTTCTGCGCTGATAATTCCTCAGCGAATTTTGGCCAAAACCAGAGTGTATTTATACATTATTGAGGCAGCACATTGTTGACTTAATAACAATTGGCTGTACTACATAATTCTTACAAGAAGGCAATGAATGTATTATCTGTGAATGAAATGTTTTAACGAATTTAGTTAATCAGCTAAAAGAGTTAATGAATTAAAAGAGTTGGTGGATTGGTCTGACTTAGAATGGTGTGAGTTTTTGCGACATGTTACTATCATGTAGTTATCATTAATACCATCGATAGAATTTTAAAATTTTACGTACCTTTATAAAATATTTCTTAAATAAAGATTAGAAAGCTGTCCTAATATTTTGAAAAAATTTTTCGGGATTGAAATGCCAGAGGCGCAGAGGCCTGTTTAGGAATGGTTTCACATGTAGGCAATCTACTACATGCTGTTAATATGCAGTTCAATCAGAAGAATTTTTTTAAATAAAAATTCACAAAATTATGCTGCAGCTGTGTTCGTCATTACAGTTAAAAATTGACAAAAAATTTTATGGCGCTTTGTTATAGATATCATATTATATGTTCAAATATTACTCTAATGTATTTTTAAATGGAGAAAATATTTTTATTTTCAAGCAAAATTTGATTTCAATAACTCGATTTACAAGTGTATAGATATTATCGAATGATAATTTTTATAATTTAATAAATATATTAAAATCCAAAAGACATTGATATTTTGTTTGTAGAAATTGTAATGCTCTCTTTAAGATTCGTCAGAATACTCAAAGGTAGATGGTTTAAGTGGATTTTTTTCGTAATAACGATAAATTCCCTTAGGTGGATGCGAGTATGATTTCTCCTTACCTCATTCTAATGTCTTATCGGAGCACGTTTTTAGCCTGACGAGGATTGCCTGGAAAGGAGAGAAATCGGATTGCTCTAACAAAATTAGAGGCCGATCTAATGGTTAAACATAATATGTCATGCCAGCAATTTTTTAAATATCTTAATAACGACGGTAAATGTTTAATTCCATTATTTAAATCTCAAATAAAATATAATTATTATAACTACAAACTAATTAATTTTCTATAAAGTATTTATAAGAATTAATAGGGGAATAGCTAAGCCAATGGCAATTTTTATATTTCTGTCTCAATTTTAATATTTCACCCGCAAAATACCAAATTTCTACCGCAATTTGAAAATCTTGACATCTATTTGTCTAAAAAGGTAGTCCGCTACCGCTATCACTACCCATCAAAAAAAAAGTAGCACGCTATTAGTTACTATTTTTTAAAATTAGCTTATTTTTATGTTGTAATTTTATAGTACATAATACATAAAAATCAACATTTATAAATATTTAAATATAGTTTGATATAAAAATAACTATTTATGGTAATATTCATTTTTTATTTATTTTGTTGCATTTTAATAAAAAAAATTATTTCTATACTATCATAACCAAGTCTAGAGCGACGATCAGAAAGTATAAGTATCGGCTTAGCACTTTTGAGGGCAAGAAAGTATTTAATTTTTTATACATATTTTTAATATAAGAAAAATTTATCAAAATACTCATTTTAGTATTTTTAGTTTTAAAAAGCGCGTTTAGGGGCTTTTCTATTTATATTGGTATCCTTTATTTAAAAAATATTACCATTGGAAGTCATTTTTATGGTTATAATTGCAACTAGGACATCTTTGTTTGTATAAGACTATTCAGCTTTACCATGAGCCTTTCACGTTGATCTTTAGCATCATCGGAATTGATTTTTTAGTTTAAAATTGGGATAAATCATAAATTTTATTTTCAAGCACTTTATATATCTGGTATCCTATTTTCATTTTGAGAGCATAGATCTTCTTTAAAGTCTTAGGGCTAGCGATTGGCCTGTGATTCCTAAATAAGCTCTAAAAACATTATTATCAGATCAATTTATAAATATAAATAAGCTTTTACCTTCTGTTATGTGTCCAACTATCTGCCAGGTACATATATAGGATATCTCTGAGAACTCTGCTATTAGAGCATCTTTCATCACTTTTATCTGGTATATTGATCATTAGTGTCTGGCGAACATAAAAATGTTGTACCAGTAGTATTTTAATCATCATGGTAAATGATGGATTATCAACCAAGGACATTGGCTGAACTGTTTTAATTATAAAATTGACAATAACTTAAACAACCAGTTTGTAAGAAATATGGGCATGGGCAATAATTAATCAATTAAGTTATGATTGAATTGGTTTTTTGGATGTAATCTCCCCTATACTAACTGTTTTAATTATAAAATTGACAATAACTTAAACAACCAGTTTATGGGCATGGGCAATAATTAATCAATTTAGTGATTGAATTGGTTTTTGGATGTAATCTCCCCTATACATTATTAAGATGTTTTTCTATCTCTTTTAAACTATTGGCTTGAACATTCTTATAAAATAAATACTATTATAATTTAAAAATGACAATTACCTTTAGGTGTTTTATCTGAAGATATATTTTTTAAAATTTTAAATAAATAAATTTGTAGCCACTTTTTGTGCATTAATTTGAAGATATTTTTCAAATTTTGGAAATGGGAAATTTGTATTATTGTTATCAAGAACATTTTCTTCCAGGGTATTTCCCCTTCATTAATATCATTATTGTCTGACTCACTTACAACGTTATGGATATCCATTTTTAGATGACATTTTAAATAATTTACACCAGATGATTTCGGTTTATAATACAAAATTAAATATATAAATTTCAATTTCAAAATTAAATAATAAATCATAAAAATTATAATTAATTATGATATTATATTTAAATTTCATGTTTATAGTTACGTTCATTTTATTTTTAAAAAGTAGCTAAGTAGTGCAAAAAAAAGAAGCGCGCTAAAAAAATAAATTGGGAAAAATATAGCGCGCTATTAGCTATCGCTACCAAAAAAGTTAGCGTGTAGAACCCTCGTATTTTTGTTG